ATATAAGGGAATGAAATTCCCTACCTGTTACAGGCAGCTGAGCTACTTAGAACTATTATAGTCAGTCAGACAGGGCTAGGCCCAATCTTCAGTTTTAGAGAAAATAAGCTCGCACTGGACATAGCAGTTCAGGAGTTTCGTCCCCCTATATCAGACCTACCATATGTCTGATAGGATTTTGTATTCTCTAAAATCAAAGAATGAATTTTAGGAACAATGGAGGTTAAGAGCAGAAATCTTTGTTGAGAAAAAGAAAGCTTCTATATGAGAGAGAGACAGAGAGTCCCAAATGAGTTGCCAAAGATTCTATATTTTCTTGGGATTTTTATAGAGTAAAACTATGAAGTGAGGCAGGTCTAAAGTGGAGAAAACTGGGAGCTCACAAGGCAGATGGGTATGAGGCAGGACAGAGCTATGGTGAACCAGTAAGTTTAATTGTTTAGGTAAAATTGACCAAATCAGGGACAAATGGGGAAGTGAATCATGTAGCAAGCCAGCATTCTTTATAGATCAGTGACTCTTCCTATGGGCAGTTGGGATGGTGACTCCTGGCTTCTCTAGGTGATCCAGATTTAATCCTTAAGGATTATACTTAAGGGTGTGGTTGCACTTGTTTTGCTTTCTGTCTGGAGATCTGACTCACAGAAGGAGTTGTGTGTCTCCTCCAAGGTCACAAGACATTTGGTCCTTTGTGCCAGCTTCCTTGAGGGCCTAACCCTGCCTGACTACCTATAATATTTCTAACTAGCTCAGCTGCTTGTGACAATTCTACTGAGTTTTCATATCGAATCAAAAAGTTACCAAGTACCTCAATCTTTTAACCTCTTAGCTTGCATTAACAGCCTTCAACTTGTTTATCTGGTAGGATTTGCTTATAAGTCTTTAGTATATTAGTTCCAACTATATAAATCTGCAATCTCCAAGCAATATGGTAACTGAATTTTTAATGAAAGCATTGTTATTCAAAATCAATTGCTGGTAGTATACCTTATAGCTAGCCTTCATTCAAATGCTACCTGTGAAATACTCCACCCAGTTCTTCCTTCCATACCAAATATAAATTAATACCCAAAAGTAAAAAAGTGAAAGAGAAAGAAAGCATTGTCTTCGCGATTATTTCTTGAAGTTTCATTTTTCTTTCCCTTGGGCAGAATATCTTTACTTGCACCTAAAGCTGCAGTTTATATAAACCTTGTCTTCATTTCTTTTTGAATGGCATTAACTTTGGGAATCCTGGGAGTTTCCATTTATTTCTTTTATATATATTTTGGGACCAAAGTAGGTAACCGTTCAGGTCAAGAAAAGAAATAAAATTTACGAAGCCATTGATTTTAATGTGAAAATTTATCAGTCAGCCTTATTATTGAGTGTTCTTGCTTATTCATTCATGATGGCACTTATTCATGATGGCAAAAAGAATAAAGCAGAGTTGATTCCCTCCAGGACCTAGCAATCTATAAGACAAAGGCAAGGCTTTTTCTGTTTTCCATCTTCCTTTTAGAAATGTTTATGAAATACATAATAAATATGCTATCAGTGCCAAAAACATTAAGGGTATATGGATTGAGGTCATCCCCTGAACTGAGGAAAGGAAAGTATAGAACAGGAAGTTGGGCTAACTAGATCAATGAATTCTTATTTGTAAGTTATGGATTTATGGAAATCCGAGGAGTTTTTACATGGGTACTATGATTCTACATTCACTTCAATCATAATACATAGACTGAATGAAGATCTATCTATCATCTATCTAAATTTGTGACATAAATATGAAGGGTCTCCCAAAGATTCGTGTATTGAGAACTTTATCCCCAATGCAGCAAGGTTTTGGGTGAGGTCAGAGAGATAACTGGTACTTATGAAGTACTCATCTCACCAATGAAGTTTACTGATAAGTTTATAGGTAAATGAGCTTATTTGGAAGTTGGGTTCATTTGGAGGAGTAAGTCACTGAAGGTGTGTCTTTGAAGGTTAAATCCTGTCTATAGTCCCTTCTTTTTTCTCTCTAGCTCTATCTCTCTCTCTCTGTTTCTTTGCTCTCCTGAAGTCAGCAGCTTTACTCCTCCATGCTGTTTCCTTCTTGGGGCCAATTGACAATGAATTGAAACCTCTGAAACTTAGCCTAATTAAGCACCTTCCCTTTTAAATTATGTATGTAGAGTGTTTCCAGCAATAGAAAACTGGCTAATACAGCCATATAACTGCCTATCATTCTAACTGTTCAACAATGCAAACTCTTCAGTCAAATAGTTTGGGTCCAATAATGAAGTCTTCAATTAGCAATGAAAAATCATTCAACAAGCACTTAGAGTCCTTATGATTTAGTTTCCTCATTTTTAACTATACAGAATTAATAAGAAAAACAAAGTAGATGACATGTTTCAAACTTACCTAAAGCTAATATTTATTTGACATATAGGTAATTTGTATTTTACTCATTTTATATCTAATATTATATGGACCTTGATATAATAGAATTTAAAATAGACAGAAGCCAGCAGATTGGCCCTTCTACTTCCCAGTTTTGAAGAAGAACACAAAGACCAAGGATCAGAGCTCTCATGCTTCCTCTGCCAGCCATTTCTGCAAATCAAAGTTTTGCCAGAAGCTTCTCCCTCAGAATCCAGCTATAGAGACATCTTAAATTCCACAGGCCATGTTGTTTATGCTTGGTTGCTTGAGTTTCATTTATCTACCACTGCTACAAAATGTAATATAGAATAAACCTTTTGCAAACCAATATCAATTCAAAATTTGGGCAAGGGGATGCTATTGTGTACATGGGTGTTCAGATTCAGAAGTCTGTGGTAAGAAGTGACATTAAAACATACTGGTTTCATCCTGTTCTTGATGTAGACAGGTTAGGTAGAAGAAATAAGCAGCCCTCTCCACCCAGATAGTGGACATAAATTTTGGAGGACATTATGTCAATATATACAATTTTTAAATGTATGGAAATAAACTGGTACATTCACCAGTTCTGCTAGGGTAGGGTGGAACTCTTGTCTAGTTTTAGTATTTATGGGCTTCTTCTGAGTTCTTGGCTTGTTTCTTCAGGCATCTGAACTTACATTCATTTTTTTTTCTTTTAGGTGCCAGACATCAAACTCACAACCATGCACTTGCAAGGCAGGCGCTTATGCCACTAAGCTAAATCCCCAGCCCCTGAATTTACATCCTTTGGAAATTAGATTATGGTTTGTTCTGTCATATGTTTATGTTGTTGGTTGATTTGGTTTTCTATTTTTATTTTACATTTTTACTGGAACACTGTGTTCCAGTGTTTTCTAATCCTACTGTCTTCTTTGTAACTGCAGAGAAGACTGAGATTGGTTAGATAAATTATACTAGCATTCGGGACTGGTTATTGCACAAAGCATCCTAAGTAGATTCCTAGTTGTCTCAACCCAGTCAATATTTACATTTATTCTAAGAGTATTTAATAAATAATGGCAATGATAGAAAAAGATATATTTACTAAACATGTTTTTCATGTTAGATGCTGTGTGACACATTTTAGTTGCTTATTATCTCATTAATCTCATGATAAAGCCATGATCCAGATATAATTATTGTCTCAAATGTATAAATAAATCTCAAACACTTAAGCACTAGGAGTATTTGCATTTAAGTCTCTAAACTTACCATGCAAGCACGTATATGAATATATGCACACCAAACCAAAACAAAATATATGCCTTGCATTTTTCAAAATAACTTTCTATGGTCTTCAAAATCTGTCACTAAAACATTACATGTTATGCCGCAGAAATTGGTCACTAATCATTCTTATCTTAAACTTTATTACAAGTCTTTTTAGCCGTGCATTCTCTCATCATATAAAAAGTTGTAAGTTTTAGATAGTATTTTATGGGGAGTGCCTTTGAGTTTAATTCAATAGACCCAATTTAATTTAATTTAATTTAATTTAATTTAATTTAGTTAAGAGTCTCTGAGGAAAAACATGGCTTGATGTCATAGTGTAGCTTCTGCTGTGAAAGGTATTCCTTCCTACTCCAGAATTTTGGCAAATATCAAATTGGTATTGCATTAAAAAGTTAGTAAATGGCAATTTGTTATAGGTATTTAAGGCATTACTGACTCCAGTGTCATCAACAAGACTGACCTGGTGCTAAAAAGCTCAAGAATGAGTCAGTGGGGTCCTACAGGGGGAAAGAGAAGATATATATGCAAGAAAAAATGGTGTCCATGATAGATGATTATAAAATTAAAAATAGATCAAAGCTTAGAACTATCAAATAGGTAAAAACATCTAGATCCTTGTTCAAAGGATGGTTAATATCTGCTTTCCCATGTCATGAGTCAGATTAGAACCCAACAAAGGAGGAATCTCAAAATCTCTCCTATTTGGTGAGATAGTAGATCACCCGTCACTCAGGTGAAATTGTGTTGATTTGTAGATGAGCACAACAGCAGGAAATTAAGTAACAAGATAATTGGTAGTTCAGATGAACCTCAAAAGAATTTCTGCAATTACTGACCACATGCTGGAACACATACTAACAGTATATCATAATGGTTGAGGGTTAAACTCTGGTTTTGGATTTTGTATCTTTGAACCCTATGGTAGCCACTTACCAGGCAGTGCCCTAACTTTCCTGAGATCCAATTTTCCTATCTGCAAAATGTAGACAGTGATAGCATCTAAGTCATAGGAGTTTGGAAAGAAGTGAATAAAATATGAGATATTTAGCATAGTGCCTGGCATATATTAAGATATTGTTATTTTGCTCTTCTCTGTATCTCAGTTTCCTAAGCTGCATGTTGATAATTGGGCAGGGATAGTTTAAGGGAACCCTTGGGCTATGTCTAGACTTATGCCTATTCCTCCACCCCTACTCTTTAGGTGTGAATATGGAGGTATGGTAGAGAGGAGAACAAAGGCATAAAAATAAGATTGCTCTGAGTATTATCTCTGGAGAGAGAAACAAGTGCAACCATAACCGAGTTAACCAGATATGACACATACAACATTTCCTTCTCCTTTTTGGTTTCAAGCTTATTTTTGAAGCTATAGATCCTGCCCAGTGGCACCTGGACACAAAGAGGAGATGGCTGCTGCTGTGTATGGATCTGCCCTGCTCTGGATAGCTCTGCTACTCTTTTGTAAGTAGAGGGTTGGTTCATCCTCGTCAATGGGTCATGAGGGATCTGGGGAGAAGCAGGCATGGAAACTTTAGCAATCTTGGTGATGACTCTTTTTAGAACACGTTCAAATGATAGGATATTTCCTAGGGACTCTGTTAGAAATAACTGGAAGGCAGAGGAAACCGGATTGTGCAACAGCTAAGGGGAAAGCAGACTGAGAGCCCAGTTCCTTGCAATCACCTTGGCAACTGCTGGAGTACAAGATTCCTAAAAAGAATGGCAGGGTAGAGGGAAAAGCGAATCGCATTGTCCAACCGGGTCAGATTCCTGAGATGCTTGGTCCTGAAATCTCAGTGAATGTGGATCTCTGTGCCAAACCCAGATCCCAATCCTCTGGAGTCTTAGGGGCTGGCAGATAGATGCTAATTTACTGTCTCTGGATTTTTGCAGCTCCGGATGGGATGATAATGGGTGAGTCCAATCTCTTTGTGCCTTCAGCATTTCCATGTCTCTGGGCATTCCTCTCCCCTCACAGTTTGCCTGCATCCCCTCATTTCCATTTTCTGATGACAATGAATCTGCCCCTCCCTGCTCAGCCCACTTTTTATCTCAACCTTATGATTTCCTCTTCTTCTCTGTTCAAAAGCTTCTAATATGCCATTTCCAATTCTCAAGTCATTTCCTCCTCTGTTTAAGCCTAAAACCATGTCTACAGCCCATCTTCATGTCTTAGCCTTTTCCATGGTCTTTGATTTGTATTTGTATTATTTTATTTGTATTATCTGTATTACTTGTATTATTTTATGCCTGAGAATGCTGGCATTCAGATTAAGTCACTTGCTGGAGTTTACACGTCTAAGAACAAAAAATATAGATTCCAGCACAAGTCTTTTGTATCTAAATCCAGTTCTCCTTTGGCTATAGCACTCTTGTGTCATCACCATCTAGCCGCTTTCTTGGATTTTGTTCAAATTTTCACCACATCTCTTTGCTCCTGGAAGCTGTTAGAGACTGACAATCTTGGTTTGTTTCACTTCCTTGCAAAACTGACATATAGTTTTCACTGTATATTCACTTATGATTAAATAGTCACAAAATTTAGATCTTGGAAGGTATATTTCATCCAGCCCAATTAACATATTTCTATTAGTATGTGTTTGCAATATATAATGATTACAATTGTTGTTTGAAGTTGGTGTATGTACATATCTTTTTCTTCTTCTTCTTCTTCTTCTTCTTCTTCTTCTTCTTCTTCTTTTTTGTCTTTTTCCTTTTTATCGGTACCGGGGATCAAACTCACGACTGGGTGCTTGCAAGGCAGGCGCTTATGCCGCTGAGCTAAATCTCCAGCCCTACATAACATATCTTAATCCTTGCATTTTGATTCTTTTTTCTCTCTTTTCACCCAACCTCCTTCTTTCTATACTCCTTCCAACTATGTCCCCTTTCCCATTTGCAATGCTCTATTGTCATCATTTTTCCAACCTCTTTTCCTTTGCTGTATCCCTTCTACTTTCCTCTCCCTTCATTTATAGAAGATCTGCATATTTCCTATTTATCTTTGTTCTATTTTACTTCCTCACTCTCTCTCTCTCTCTCTCTCTCTCTATATATATATATATATATATGTATATATATATATGTAAATATTTAAGTTTGTGTGTCTAATTTATTTCACTTAATATTACTGTCAAGTTGTTTCCACTTACCTACAAATGCTTTAAGTTTATTTTTCCTTATGGCAGAGTAGTGCTTCACTGTGTTCAAATACCATATTTTCTTTTTGCTTCATCTGTTGATGCCAGTCCCATACATTTGTCCATCTCATTTTCCTACATTTATTCACTTGATAAATATTTAATGAACACTTACTATATACCAGCCTTTGAACTGAGCAGTGACTGAGTGTAACAGATGGAGTCTGTATCTGAAAACGAGTTGCAATTCTCACTTATAGATTCTGAAATTGAAATTAAGAAGAGAATTAGAATAGGCAATCTCAATTCACATAATAAATTACTTCATTCTTAAATCTCCTGCATTCATATCCTGTCTTCCTGTGTTAGAGGTTTTTGGGTCACAGCCCTGATTCCTCATGCTTTAATGCTTCCCTTAGGAATCAGGATAGAATACAAGCAGAACAAGGGTACCGACTCTTGATATATTCATGGTTTTTGATGTTGTTTCACTTTTATTTCTCTTTCTATAATTTTATTTTCTTGAAGCCACTCAGAAATCTGTGCTCTCCTTGAACCCCCCATGGTACAGAGTATTTGAAAGGGATAATGTGACTCTTACATGTAACAAGAACAATCTCACTGAAGACAGTCCCACTATGTGGACTCACAATGGCATCAGATTTTCAACAAACACTGCAAATTATAACATTGTGAATGCCAGCTCTCAAGACAGTGGGGAATACCGATGTTGCAGCCAAAATTTGTACTGGAGTAATCGTGTTCACCTGGAAGTGTTGAAGGGTAAGTTCTGGGGATATGGAAATGAATGTCTCTCACATGAGGAGTGGTCCATTGGAAGATGGAGAAAAGTAGGTTATTACAAGGGTGAGAGCATCAGGGTAACATTCAGGGCTTCCTATTCGAGACTTCTTCATTCTTCTCCTACACCCACTCTTTATGCCACCTTTTCTCCTTTTTCAGTATTCTGGCCACCTCTCAATATTATTCTTATATTCTACTTTTTTCTATCTTTTCTGCCTAGACACTGATGTACATTATGTCGTCAAATGGCACAATGGATTTATGAATATTGCAGAGCTATGTATCTGGAATAGGATCAAAAGTCCTGATTTAAAGATTTTTCTCTGAATAACCCATGTGTCATGATTTAAATATTAGGTAAATTATGAGGCATATCTGTGTACCTTCCTCAAGTCATTTATTGTTACACAAAAACAGTTCTTATGTTTGTTTCACTCAACTTCTGCCAACAATTAGCAGAACATATTCATACATGTGGGTTAATCAGTAAATCTTGTATGAACAAACTAATGATTTCATTTGGGTGGATAAGTGAGTGTTACACTTTTTTCTTCAATGAAAATAAATGTTTTAAACATCTCCACATAAATCCCATTTATGAACTAAATCAGTGTAGGACAGTCTTTACTTCCCTTCTAATAAACTATAGAGAAGTCCTTAAAGCTTCCTCCTAATAAAATGTTTGCACAAATTAACCATCTTCCCATTTGAAAATTTTCTTTTACCAATGTTTTTCAGTTATTGCAATGACAGTGACTTATTGTTCACAAATGTATTTTTAGTATCTACCAATACTTAGGCATTGTGTTAGACACTAGGGATAATATGTACAAAGAGACAAAGTCCCTGACCAATAATTAGAACATTAGATTAAGAATACAAATTAGATTAAGAATACAAATAAATACAACTTCTGCATATGTTTTAAAGAAGTTTTTAGACCAGGTATTATTAACCACAGGGCTGGAAAACTTGAATAAATTATGAGCAAAATAGATTCTCCTAAGCTACAATTCTATGTTTATTTTCCCTGTAGTGGCTGAAACTAGCTGTAATAGTTCTGAAGGGAATTCTGGGTTTCAGGGCTTCCATGTATGAGTTCAGTAGAAAGGCATGAGTGATTTTATCGCTCTATATTGACTTTTAGGAAAGAGTATTTACTAGTATAAAAGACAGACTCTAAGTGTTATTTTGTGTTTACTTTTAATTTATTTTATGAGTCAAGACTTGGGTTAATGCCTATGACTTCTGACCCATATTCTACTTGTAACTTTATCTATCTAGCTATCTATCATCAATCTTCTGATGATATATCTGAGTACCTGCATATATATAATTTATTGATAATCTAGCTAAGTACATACCTATAATCTATACTATCACCTCTACATTAATGATCTATCTATCTATAATCCACCTATTTGTAAACTCTTTCCTTCCATTCCATACCACTGTTCTCCTTTCCCTTCATTTGTTGCTAAATGAATAACATTATGACTGCTCTTTAGACTGGCTGCTCCTTCAGACCTCTCCCAATGTGGTGTTAGAGGGTGAGCCCCTCTACCTCAGATGCCATGGTTGGAGGAATTGGATCGTCTACAAGACACTGTACTACAAGGATGGCAAAGTTTTTAAGTACAATTATGAGAACAATAATGCCATTATCATTAAGAATATGACAGCCAATGACAGTGGTACCTATTGTTGCTCTGGCTACCTTAACTCCAAGCACTGGGAGGAGAGTGATAAGTGTTCATCCCAACCCCTCAAAATTACTGTCCTAAAAGGTGAGTTGGTAGAGGAAAAAGGTAATAGTCCATACCAGGGAAAGGAAGAGAGGCTGTCTGAGCCTGGAATGTTTGCAGCTTGTAGAATGGGGGCAATTACAACAAATTAGAAAGATTACTAGATTTGCAATGAGGTGACCAAAGCTAAAGACTGTACCTCAGTCTTAGAGTCCTTTTTTTGTTAATTCTGATAGTAATACCTGCTAAGACTGTGGAGTTTTTGTGAAGATTGGTGTGTTAATATTTATTATACGACTTTGTAAACTGTCAAGCACTATACAGATATAAGAGACTGTGAAATTTTTTTAATCTCAAACTCATCTGTTTCTCCTGGGAGACATATTTATATTTATCAAATTGGAAGGTTGTGAACAAAGATTGTGAAGAGCTAGAAGAGTCTATTCTAACTTAAGAGGGCTAAAAAGGAAAATAAGCAGTCAATATGCCATGTGCCTGTATCTTGCAGGACAAGATAAACAGGCTTGATGTGGAATGGGTAGACAGGTTGCCTTTATGGCCCATATGGAAACTGCTCTTCTCAAACTTTCCATACAACAGGGAGAATCTTTGAAATAATTGCCTTGCAAGGAAGAAATTAGATGTTATTTTCCTATGTAATGCTGATAATTATGTCAAAAACACATGAGACCGAAAGTCAGAATTAAACTTTTCTGAGAGTTCTGTTAATGTGAGACAAACATGTTATTTGTTTCTGGGTTTGCCATGTGTAAAATAGAAACTTTGACCTCGACTCCAGTGGCATCTCCTAAGGAACATATAAAGATACTGATATGCATGTCTCACCTCCTTAAATTCTCATCTAATTGGTTTAGGGTGAGATTTGGACATCAATACTTTTAAAGGGTCTTTCTAGTGGTGTTTTTGTGTAGCCACTGTTGAGAAACTGGTCCATAAATGACTTATCTCTGTCATAGTTGGAAGCTCAATAATTCTAGAAAAATTATTCCTATGTATTCAGAATAATAGAGTCACAAAACAGTGGAGTTGGAAGGTAACATAAGTGCTCCAGTACTTCATATCACCAAGTAGTTGTGCAAGAAACTATGGCTGATTAATTAAGAACAAGGTACTGGTGACCCCCTGACTTCACTCTGTTTCCCTTTAACCTCCAAACTGTAGATGGTGGTCATGTCAGCTTCAAGAAAAGGGTCATTTTTCTTATCACTTTCTTCTTGAGTACACTAACTAGAGGATAGTCAGGAAATAGTCTTCCTTGGGCCTCCAAGGAACACAGACTGAGTAACCTAGTCTCTTGAGTGTTTTCTTTCTGTTCCTAGAGGCCATGTTATGCTAAAAATGAAGGATCATGCTGAGTTCTTCTCTTAAGGAAGATGGAGCTCTGACTCTCATACTTCAATTGCTAATACTAATCATGTTTCCTGTTGCATCTGTGTTCTACTCTAGCTTATCAGAGCAAGAATATCTGGCTGGAACTTGTTATCCCTCTGTTGGTGGTGACTCTGTTTGTAGGAGATACCTGGTTATTTTTCTCAACTGATAAACAGTTCAAATCTCTCTTGAAGATGAAAACAACTGGGCAGAACCCACATCCTGTGGCAAGTCCCCAAAGGAAAGATGTTGTTGCTTGAAAATAGTTTGCAACAGCAATTTTCTTAAAGCAGCGTATGGAATTACTTTCTTAAACACAGCTTTCAAAGTGCATAGAAAAATCTGTGGTCAACGATTTACAGAAATGCCTCTTTAAATGAAATATAACTTGTTATGTGACTTGCAATACTAAGTGCTCAATAAAAACTGGTTGAATAAGTGCAACAATGAATAGATTCCTTAATATTAGCCTTTGCAATAGAGAGCAGATTTGAATAAAATAGATACAAGGCTATGTAAAATGGTGCTTCTGACTATTCAAGGATCATTTATTTGTCTTTTTTTTTAGTTCTAGAAGCAAGAACTATGATGATTTAGATTTAAAATACCTTCTCATGACCATTAGAAATGAGGCCACATGGTAGGAGGCAGTTGAAGTTGATAATGTTTATTATTTTTTCCCACATTATTATATAAAATGTCTTACTTTTGACTGACTATTACCTTAAAGAGTTGGTCCTGGAAATGAAGCTCAGTCCAAGAATTCTATTATTATTTTACTCCTCTAATATATCCCAAAATTATATCTTAAATTTGTATGTTTTATCTTTATGAACATATTAAATAACCACTTTGGAAAAAGCAAATAATAATAATCAAAATATTTATTTATGAAAACAGTCTAGGACTGAATAATTGTCAAAGGAAATAAACAGTTTAGTTTCACTTTAAATGTTACCATCGAAGGCCCAAGTTTATTGCACAGAATGAATGTAATTAAATTTCCTTCCTAAATGTCATCCATTGGAAAGAGACAAAATTATACAGGAAAAGACCCTGACTCTTCTACTTTCTAGATTGTTATTTGAGAAGATATTCTTTTAACACCATGGGTGATAGTACGTCACTGCTAAAATAGAAATCATAATAGCCATCCAGGCTACCACTCTTCTTGCCCTACTGTTCACAAACATGGTTAAACTGAGGTCTCACAGAAAGTTCCAGTGAATAGATGCACATATTCAGAGCTCCACAGGAGTTCTTTGGAGAGAATGAGCTGAGAAAGCCTCTTGTTCATTCAGGCTCCACAACAATTAGTAGAGGACAGATATCTGGGAGAGAAATTTACAAGTAGTATCTATTAGATTTACAAGTGCCATGCTTAAAGGCAATGTTACTGGAGGTGAGACAAGAAGGAAATTATGTGAGCCTTTCTTTTTGTTTAGCTTTATCCCTCCTGCTAGACAGGTATCCGGTATGAACTGTTTTTACAGAATCCTTCCTTTTGGTGTTTCTTTACTCACTATAAAGAATTAAGAAATGGCCAGATTTCCATTGAACAGCCTGTCATTGGTTTCATGGAACAAGGATTGGTGAGCAAAGGGGAGATGCCTTGGAAAACAATGGGCCAGAAGTCTCCCTAGGATGTTCCTTGGTGTTATAGGAAAGGATCCCTGCTACTACTCGAATGCTTGCTTCAAAGGCCAGCACATGTGTTCAGGACACCTTGCTCCAGTGGTCTCTAGGGGATCCAGCATAACATGGAAAACAAGCTATTCAAACTTTGTATCAAATATGAATCTGAAGCCAAATGATTCAGTTAAGACCTAAAAACTACTTAATGTGGGTGGAAAGTCCAATCTTGATCAGTTTGCAGCACATTTCTGAGAGTTTCTGTATTTTTGAGTGTCACAGTTCACATTTGCCTTTCCTCTTGTCCTCAGTCCAACCTTGGAGGGCTATGGACAGAGAACAGATAGGGAGATTCAAGCTGCCACTAACTAGTTGAGGGGGTGGTCAATTCCTTGCCAGTCTCTGAGATTCTATTTCCTTTTTGTAAAAGGAAATGAGAGGTGTGTAAAAAGTTTTCTGTAAGGTTCTTCCAGCTCAGACATGTGTCATTTATTCCTCTCCCACTCAGTTTCTCTGTTGTGGTTATCCAGGCACAGAGTGACCTAGAAGTCATTCCCAGGAAGCTGCAGTGTGTTTATGCTCCACTCCTTTGTCCTTCCCTCCCACTGGTCTCTCGTGTACCTAAATTCTGTGTTTATTTAAGGCCCATTTCTTTCTTCTTGCTCTTGTCTTGATGGTTACTCAAAGCCTATTCAAGAAAGAATGTAGAACAGAGATAGAAATGGAGGATTTTGTAGCCTTCAGAGTATATACTATGTCCAAGGAGACCTTTGTAATTTAATACATATAAAATATTTTCCACTGATACCAAAGAAGGAGTAGTTTTGCACATCATTAGAAGAATCCATCCCTGGTTCTCTGTTTTGGTTCCTGAGTCACCTCTAAATTCTTAACTGATGGATCTAGCCCAGAGCAAAATGCAACTTTTGCTCTCCCGTAAGAGGACACCACAAACCCACATGAGTTCTCTATCATTAGGTGCTGGTTTCTATAAGTCAAAACACAGTTCCCTAATTGTGGGCAATGGGATGGAAATTTCCCAAGATATATCAAATGTGAACACTCAGACAGAAGACTTACCTGGTTAGTATTCTGGGGAACTGAGAGTTCAGGAAAGGCTTTGCTCTTCCTTCTACCCACCAAGTGGGAAATGAAGAGAGCAGAGGCACCTTTCTGAAGCTAGAGATGAACCTTCTTATGTATGGTAGAGGCACCTGAGAATACCTGGGGATTGTCTAGGTCTTTAAATGAAGTCAGAGAATAGGGTTGTTTTCCAGACTTAAATTTTGTGTCCAGTGTGGAGTAGTTACATCCAAGTCCACATTCTCATTTGGTACATCAACCTCCACAAAATTCTCTCCCAAACTCTTTCACTGTACAAGTGTGTCCAGAATCACTATCAAGTTCACTTGTTTACACAGTGGATAGCGCACCCTCCCACACACACACACTTCCCCTCTTGAAAACTGGAAGGTCACAACCCCATTTTCAGTGTTTCCCGTGATGGGTGAATTTCAACATAACTTTGACAGTGGTCAGCAACCTCTCTGCAAGTTCAGGTACCTGGCTGCAATGAAACTGAAATTACCCTCTGTGAATTGAAAGGGTAAAAAATTCAAATTTTTATTTTCCAAGAAGAAACCACTACATAACTGCCATCTAAACTGATTTACACTAAATATAACTCAATAAACAGAATATAAATATTTTTAAAAATTAAAATGTAAAAGCCACTTATCTACCCTTACTAAAATATGTTAAGACTAGAAATTTCACTCTTTACTTATGCCAATTTTTCTAGAAATGGGATGCTAAAATTGAATTCTCAGTTGATGCCAAAATGGGATGCTAAAATTGGGTTCTCTGTTCTAGAAATGGGATCTGAAAATGTTGCCTGTTTTCATTCCCAAGAAACAGACTCTAAGACCCAAATTTCAACATAGAAACTTTATTCAGTGATCTCAGTCTCTGCTTCTGTGCACGACTGAAGGAAAAAGGATAGAACAAACACAGACGCTGAAGTGTGACACAGTAACATGAAACAAACAACTCAGCCCATCACACAGAGGACAGCTCCAGACTACGAAGAGCCCTTTCTACTTATCTTACAGACAATTCCCTGAAACAAACAGAGCCTTGGAGACAGTACATCCCTGAAAAGGCAGAATGAAGTTGGAGTCCATGGAAAGGATGGCTTCTGAATTGGAACTCAGGGAGAGTTCTCAACCCATATTTCTTCCAGCCATGGGGAAATGTGTGTTAAAGTTCTAAATGATGCAACTTTGGTGTGCATTATAACATCCCATAAATTGGTCTTCAGAAAAAAGCTGCTGTTTAATTAATCATCAGACCTTTACTCAGCAGCTTTGAACCAGATAAAACAGAACTATCATGCAAAACATTTTTGAACTGGGATTTGACCAACAGCACAGGAATGAACTGGTTATCTTCTCTAGAAATCTGACACTAAGGCAAAAATATCTTCTATCCTCAGCAAGACCTCACAGGCCGGGCTTTTTTCCCCCCAAGTGACAATGTGTTATCATGAGTTAAGGACTATTTCATTTCCACTGGTTCCTCTCAGTCTCAATAGCTGCAGTTTTGAAGGTGCTTCCACAAGTGATGTCTTGCTTTCATGGGTTTATGTTCCTGGATCAGATGGATTCTGCATGTTAAGTAAACTGTGTGAGTTTAGGGTGTGACAGTCTCACTGAATAAAAGGCTAGAGTGGAATGGGTAAATGAAACAGAAATCTTTGCTTATCTCAGCATGCCCACTTTCATTTTCTGTGATGCTCAGGCATGAAACGCTGCTTAGAACTCATGATGAAAGTTAGTGGGATCTAAAACAAAACTTATAGAAAGTAAACACAATAGCTTTAAGAGCTTCTGCAAAAACTTTAAGTCAAGCTTTGGACTTCTATTGAAATAAATATTGTCCAAAATTTTAGCTAAAATGCTCCTGATCATAATGCTATTTCAGAGAGTTTAGCTCTGTCCCAGAAAAGGAACTTTTCGAACACTACCTTATTTAGTTCTGTGTTGAAAGTGTGAAAAGAGTTCAACGTTTTGGCTTGGTTTCCTTTTTAATCTGACTTATCTTATCTGCACATTTTAGGACTATGGACAGCCCATGCTTCATTCTCTGTGACTGATGCTTTTTGCTGTCTCACATTTTGGGTCAGTGAGGGCAGTTCTGTATATTTGAAAGATGTGCATCCTAGCTTTATGAAGCTTCCCCAGGTTGTGATATTAACATGTAATAAAACAGCATAAGAAAGCCTACTATAGAAGGGTATATGTATATCTCCTCACTTACACATCACAATGGTTAAACAAATTACCCCAGTATCCTTACCAACAATAAAGAAATCTTTCTGAAATGGTTTCCAAATCTGATCTTCATCAGCTTTCGAACGTTGCTGCATTTGGTGTCTTACTGGAATTGTATGATTATGGACCCCTTAGTTGATGACAGAGATCCATTCCGACAGACATATATTTGGGCAATTTCATCATTATGAGTGTCACCAAGTGGACTGGTATGAACATAGATGGAGTAGTCTCACATCCACCTAAGTGGTACAGCATACGCCATTGCATCCACTATCACTGACTGAAACCTTACTATGTAATACATTGCTGCAACTCAAAATGTTCTCATAGGTGGAGCTGCGTGTATGTGCATAAAAGCATGTATGAAGTTTGACTTTTGCACTGAAGCAGGTCTAGATTTGAAAGAGTTGGGCAAAGAATGGAAAACTATAGTCAACTAAGAAACAAGTAGATTAGATCAAGGTCTTCAAGCAAATGGGT